ATATTAACTATTTTCTGTAGGGGCCTACTTGATACTATTTATTCCATTTGCTTGTATTTATGCTCGTCTTTTTCTATAGTCTATAATGATTTTAGTAGCAATTATACTATGTATAGGATCGATTAATTCGACTTTTAACGGGGTTTTGCTCCGCCTCTAACTAGTCACCTTTATGCTTGCTATGTTTATGATGCCAATAGTTCTGCACATTTCATTAATGTTGAAGAAGTCCTGGGGACAGGACGAAATAATACGTTTTTCAATAAAATAATATATAATTTATGTTCTGTAACACGTCAAACTGTCATTTATTTTCGTACTTGACGCACATGTTATACTTATTTGGAACATACGTGCAGCTCATCATTATTTTGATGTCAACTCTACGCTTTCGTATGATACGAAACAAAATTGAATCTTTTAGCAACGTACTAGCTTCACAATACAATTTTGTGGTAAATAAGTGTGAAATTCGACATTTTCGCGGGAGATGTCCTTTGACATACCGTACTATAACTCTGAATTACAAAATGAATAAAATCTGAAATTTGTACAGGTGTTTTATTTTGTATATTTTCAGTTTTCGAAAAGGTATCAGACGAAAAGGTTGTTGGCTTAGTATTTTTCTCATTTATTTAATAAGTCATTAAAATTTTTTTTTTTTGGTAAATTTTGGGTAACACACAACATATTGTGTATGATGACACAATATGATGACACAACATATTGTGTCATCATACACATCATTTGATAGATAATTGTAATATTTTTCGCATGATACCAAATATATCCAAATTGTGCAAAATATGCCATTTTTTTTTCAAATTTGGTACTTAAATCCAACACTCAACGTGGCAACAGGCCATTCCATGTGAACCAAGAGTTGGTGATGAGGATTCACCTTGTTTTCAGCTTGTAACACACGATTTTTTGAGAACTTTCAATCTGATGGCCACCAGTCTAATAGTTATTCTATTCATTTATTCACTCCAGTATTTTTGAACAATATTAAAAATAAAACATAAACAAGCACTGGTCTGCAACATACTGTCTTTATTAATCCAAAACATAGCAACATAATCATCAACAGGGTATTAAATTGCGACGCAGAGCTAACTAACGCTACTCATCTACGAGGTCATAGATGTCAAGCACAGTACTAGACGAGAAAGTTAAAGGTATACTATTAAGGCATTTTCTATACTTTGGTGTGAGACGTCCAATCGAAACACATTGTGACTATAATGAGGAGCTAACATGAACATGGTCAGAAAAATATTTTTGTAGCATATGCTGATGTGTATACATTGGATAATGAGATTGTACACTACACTACACTACAATAGGCTATAGTTTTACAGCAGATTTTTTTACTTCGTTTTGTTATTTTTTACCCTGAAAATAATGTTTGAATTTTGATGATGTTCATCGTTTTGAAATTATATATAGACTGATACATTAAATATTATATATATTTATTATACTCTAGATGTAGGCCAGTGTTGTTTTTGTAGATTGATTCTCGTAAATTTCAGATAATAGCTATAATAATTATATATTTTCATAACAAATCATCAATTTTCATCAGTTTCTCAAGCTGAACCGATCATACACCATCACCAATTACCAGGTCAAAAGTTACACACTCTACAGATCTGTGTTATTCAGTTATGATCATCATATGGGAATACTCATCATATATCGTCAGTTTCACTCATCTAATTTTCACAGACATTAAAAGATGAAAAACCAATACAGTATTCATAACCTTTGAACTTGTAACAAAAGCTCAATCACACCCACTGTAAGATTCCTAAGATGTTACACTGAACAATAAAATATCTCATTAAATATTCATTTTTAAGTTTCGCACTCAGTCAATCGTCCAAAATAATTAGCACCCTTTAAAATGAACCATACACAATGATTATACTAGTCTGTTGATGATGTTAGGAATGCTTCATCCAGACATACAAACTTACATTTTGATTATACTTTTTCTAAAGCTAATGGCTTCTACAATGTCTAAATCGGCTAATTTAAGCACACATTGGTCTAAAAATACAAAATATACACTGTTTATATATAAACAATTTAAGTATTACATTGCACAAATGAATACATAACAAACAAAAATTAATAAAAATGTCCAATATATTAATTAGCATAGTTCAAAAAATTGGCGAAAGAATATATTATATTAGGAGTAAAAACATATTTTGCATTGTTTAAACAAAAATCTACTTAAAACAGAAATACATGTTCTATCTTGCATGAGATGAATATCACATTCCATCACTGAATATAATATTGGCTAAAACTTAATCTACTGTACTAAATGTCACACAAATACACAGTGGTGGGTTTAAAATTTAAAGAAATAAAATGACATTCAAAATTTATGTCTGAGGGTACCATTTCTGGCAATCCAGAGGATGCCATAATCATGTCTTCTTACCTCAGCAGGGGCGGATTTAGTGGGGGGGGGGGGGCCGGCCCGGCCCCGGCCCCCCTTTGGGGAGGGAAAAAAAAAAAAAAAGGAAAAAAAGAGAGGAAAGGAAAAAAATGATAGCCCAGAATGCCTCAAATGTTATGTTCGGGCGTCCAGAACACAAAAATTTCGCGGGGGCATGCCCCAGACCCCCTGCGACAGTGTTGTCTCAATCGTCCCAACTTTCGGCCCCCGCTTCCGGCCCCCCCTTTTGGACATTTCTGGATCCACCCATGCTCAGCCCCAACCATGGTGGGGCTTAGGTGGTATAGACCCTCCATTTTTGGAAGTCCTTCCGAGAGCCCCTTATATATCAAAATTCAGGACCCGCCATTGATACATACATTTGAATATAGATGAATTTAAATAATAAAAACACAGCTACCTGAGCTGTTCATTGCTAAATTTTAAAATCAGAAATGTAAGCCAAATTTTCAGCAAACATATTCTATTGAAAGCCTTAAAAACATCCATTGCACAATAAAGAGTAAAAATATTCACACAACTATCAAGAAAGCCCAACAACTATACCTGGTGGCTCCCACAGTCAATAACAATATAGCTAACATGCAGAAGATATGGCAAGCAAAGAGAAAAAAATGCTAAGTGATATATTATACACTAAAGCCTGGTTCTCACGTTAGCAGTATCTGGATACCGCTAACTGTTAGCAAGCGCTATCGGTTATTAAGTTGAGCGCGTTTTTATCATCAACCAATTACACGTACGCGTTTACAATTTCCAGTTTTCTGCAGTAAGGAACTTGTTTCTACGCAGGTATTTCATATTAAGTATAAACATAGTTTTGATTTTCAGTGTAATTTCAACTTCAGTCAGTCTGTATTAACAATAAACAACAAAAATAAACAAAAATATTAATATTTCATTTTTTTTTTATATAAAGCACAAGTATTCATATTTCAATTGTCACAATCATTTGTCACATAATCTATGACAAAATATAATTAACTAATTGCACCATTTAGATATTAAACTGAGAGATAAGCAACCGGTTACAACTGATTATAACTGGTTAGAAAAATAAGAACAGTGTTTATATGGTTTATCCACCATAGCCTCCTAAATGGTCAACTTAAGAGTACTGATAAGAATTTTCCCAATTCATACTTTGGAAAGTTCTATCTGCAAATTGACTCCTTAAAATTGGTCAAAACATACTTAAAAACAGGGTTATAAAAACATATTAACATTTTTTTTTTTCAAGTTTGGTGCCTGACTTTCAATCCATGGGTTCCAGGTTTAAATCATATAAACTTAATGTTCAGATTATCAAATTTTTTTCTGACAAAAAACATGTGACATGCCTAAATATGGTCATGTTTATATCACATCATGACTATATATAGACACATCATTACTATATATAGACACATCATGACTATATATGGACACATCATGTCTATATATGGACACATCATGACCATATATAGACACATCATGACTATATATGGACACATCATGACTATATATGGACATACAATGTTTATTCAAAGAAAATTTGATAGTATGGACAAAGCAATTAGTTTATTGATATTAATTCTATTCTGTAATTACTAGCTACACTCACCATCAGATGAAAATTAAATGTAATGACAGAAAATATACAAAACAAGGTGTAGACATTAAAGTACTATATATATCAGCAACCTTATATTTTTGTTGTTACTCTACTAGACAAATCTAACAGCATACAAGTCTGACAAAGCATTAAACAATTTTTCATATCACTATAGTTAATCTAAACATGTACGGTATATACTGATATTGATATATGCTTGCATTACTAATTAATGATCAGAAAATTACTATTGTTATACTGAAATCTGGACTAACATTAATTAAGTAATTAATTAATATTAAATCAAACGTCTTGAGAACATTTGGATTGTATGATCGACAATCCTAAATAATCAGAGCGATTTTATAAGAAAAGTTTTAAGGACGGGACTGAGGTTGTCTTTTTACATTACTACTACAGCGTACAAAAAGCTCCTGACAAAACACTGCACACAATACACACAATTAGTACACAAAACTATTGGTTAGTCAATGCACATGCCTCCGTGGTAGTCTTAGGGTAAATGGCCTACACTTGCTTATTTTCATGTGAATTGGACCAATCAGAAAAGGGTATGAATGCATTTGCCTAGCAACAGATGCTACATAGACCAATCGGAAGCTTGTGTGATTTTAGTTGCAACAGATAATATTTGGACCAATATCAGATGCTCATGTAAATGCTTTTGTATAGCAACAGATGCTGATTGGATCAATCAGAAGCAGAAGTGGCTTTACTGGCCTAGCAACATATGTACTGTACTTTCAACCAATCAGAAGCTGATTTAAATGCATTTGCCTAGCAACAGATGCTATTTGGACCAATCAGAATTTGGTTTGGATGCACTTGCCTTGCAACAGATGCACATTTATTACTACTTAAACTACTTAAACTATGAACTATATTTAACAAGAAAACTTTTTTTTTAAATTTCAGAGATGCCAAATAAAAAATAGTCAATATTTTAGCATTAATAGCCAATTAAATTTCTAATTGTTTAATGGTGAGACTTGTTATTTTATATTTTACCAGCATCTGTATTTTGGATATAGCTATCTCATTTACTGCTATATCTACTCTTCATCTAGAATAAGTTAAATACAAACAGTTAGAATCTTGACTCTAGTGTTACAATGTCAAATAGGAACAGCATTTCAGAATGAGGTGACAATACACAGTCATAAACATTACAACCCAGTTACAATAGTTTTCAGGAAGTAAGCAGCCCAACAGGCATGTATGCACACATTTAATTGACTTGCATGGAGTGTACAGATATCTTGTAAATGGGGCATATATGCTGATATTGAAATGTAAAACTACCTGCAGCATGTATTCTGCTATAGGGTCTACATGCTGCAAATGGGAATGTATACAGAGCAGAAAATTTGGCATGTACGCTGTAGTAGGGCATGTATTCTACCTGGTCATCAAGCTAAAATTTAGCATGTATCTCTATAAATTTGGCTTGTGTTTTAGGATATTTAAGTACATATCTGATGTAAGAGATGCTATAGCATGTGGCAGACTAGAGAATACTTGCACAGACATTTATAATTAATGTACATATGTTAATGGACTGGTTCTAACATACAAACAGGGACTCTATTAACCATTGTACACCAGAATATACTTAACCACCACCTATGTTATGTGGGAGGTTGTAAGTCTACCAACTGATGTAGAGATATCTTTTAATTGGACTAAGATTGGCTAATTCTTTTATACACTTCATAAAATATTTTGTAATTATATTTATAGCATCCTAATTATCATATTTAGTAGGTGATTTTGTTTGGTTGATATTTGCTGAACAATCAACATGAGGCCATTTAGAGGATAGGTATGTGAGAATGTTGGCTAATTCTATTCAAACAAGCATTTGAGGCGAACGTCTGGAAATCTTTGACCGGATTGAACCGGCTAGAAGTGGATTGAATGCATATAACCAATCAAAAACATCCTTGTCTCCTACTGTTTGAAGTAGAAATCCACGGAATTTAGTACAGACAGAAAACGTATTAGCAGTCTGAAAAGATATAGAAACAAAAAACACCTTCATTTCATGTTATAGCAGTTTAAAGCAATAATTATAATTTTTTAACAATGAGATTGCTATGTTTGTCTATATGATATTTTGTACCAAAATACAGTCATCATATGCAGCTGACTTGTACTGTGTTGTATTCTTTGTGCTTTGAGTGCTGCCTTCCTGAGCCATATGACAATAGCACATTTGTGTACTTTTGGTCATCCTTGATTGGCTAGCACCACTCTCTTTGTTTACCTTGTTCTTGTAATTTTAATGTATGTACTGTATCTTGTATGAATTTTAACCCAAAATGAATCTGATTCAAATCAAATTATATAAAAAAATAATAAGCTTACCCCAATCATTGCTCGTTGATCCTCGCTGTATTCTATTCTGGCAGTAGCTAAGTTAATTAAGCCCCGTTCAACGGGATCTTTCTCGCTGTTGAAGAAGAACACGTATGGGCGGCGGACTATTACGTATCGTGTCACCCATCCTTTGGTCTTCTCTTCTAGGAAGTTGAGGTAGCCTCGTCGGGAAATAATTGGGCTGAAAAATTAACAATAAATACAATTAAATAAATATACAAATAAAGTATATAAATAAATATATATAAAATAATAAGACAATAAATATAATAAAATAACAAACAAAATGGTAATTGTTATTATTGAGAACAGAAAACTGAATTTTTAACAAACAAAATATAAACAAATTAATTAATTAATTAATTAATAATTTCACCTTATTCTGACTTCTTCCACCTCAGGAATATAAAGGGATCTTCGTCTCCTACTTATTAGATCTTCTGGAACTTCCTGAGTCAGGATTCCAGGGAGGTCTGTTGGCACCGGTAAACGACGAGCAATCCTAGGAGAAAGGCTCTGTAAATCTGACTCGGAAACGCATTTCCGTAAAGTTTCTGTCTGCACAGTTGGGCATGGTCCAAAGTCACGTATACCTCCACCTTCCTCTGGGCTTTCTCCATCTGTACTTGGTGTTCCAGTCACCTGTTGAAGAAAGGATTTTTTGTCCAACAACTTGATCATAATTTTAAAAATTATTATTTTATTATAATAAAGCCATACACATGCTCTAAATCAAGTCCTGAAGAAACTGTAAACATGTAACTACCTAAGCCAGCCAATAAACAAAAGCTGCGCATACATTGCGCTGATGGTCATTGGCTGATGCAACTGTATGGAAAACACAACGCGACACGCACAATTGAATCTTTTTACTGAACCTGCTCAGTCTGCCATTAGTGAGCTTTGGATTTGTGTGACGACGCAACGCTAGAACGGAATCACACATGCGTGACCGTCCTACCTGGCGTCCTACGTTCTCTGCATATGTAGATTTGGCCAAATTGTGTTTCAGAATCTAGGTGGCCTTAATGTTCTCGCATGCGCAGATGATTTTTAGTGACGTCATTACGTTCTACGTCCTACCGTAGTCGTGTACTAGAAAGCTCCCTATTGACATTCAGAGGACGGCGTTGCATCATCAACTGAATATGGATTTTTTGGGGGCGGTCATACGACCACCTTACAATGCAGTGTGTGCCTGGCTTTAAGACGACAAGTATTTATGCAAATTAATGTTCACCTGTACATGTGGTAAGTCAGGCACCTGTGACTTCTCTTGAGTAAGAAGCTTCAAGCATTTGGTAAGCAAGTCTTGTTTTTCAGGTGAAAAGACGGCGTCCTCATCATCCTCTTCGTCCTCTGTGAGTGGCTCTCGTTCATATGTCTTTACATTCCCGCTTAGTTTGTCTTTCAAGGAGAGAGTGTGCCTTGCTTTTTCAACCTGAATTTCAATTTACAAGTAGAGTAGTAAAAAAACTGTAAATTTTCAAAAACAAAACAAACTAAAAACCTCTAAAATATACCACACCAGACCGCTGAGGTTTTTTAGGATGACATGCAGAGCATTTGAAAATATTTCTTAAATAATTTTTAAAAGTTTCATATTCTTTGTTTAGCTAATGTTTTTTTTTTTTTTTTCTGGGATGGACGTACTTATATAAACAGTTTCTTTCAAAAATTATTTATCATTCAATCACAGCCTAAGCTGAACTGTAGAAATAATTTTAGGCCCACATTACAAAAGAATTACAACACTACGGTAATTTACACAAGAAAAAAAAATATCATTACATTAAGAAAAACTTTAAAACAGCTAAACTGAAAAATATGTTGCATAAAAAATGGACTACCTGATTGCTCTACCGAAATATGTTGAATTGCTGTCATATAATAAGTAGCCATATTACAACAAAATTTTTTCCACCTATCCAATATAGTCATTGTAAATAATTAATTGATTAGTTGATAGACAAATATAGACACGGTACCCGTTGTTTGACACCACTTAATATCATGAAATCTAAATATACTTCTAAATTAGCCAATCCAACCAAAGTAATTGTGACTGCTATAATCATTATATGCTTAACCTCTGACCCTACCTCTTCAAGCCTTTTGATTTTCTCAAGTTCCCACTGGTGATCAAGAATAAGGGAATCGGCACGTGGTCGCCAGCCTTTCAAGTTCTCCTCGCCTCGCACGTATGTACCAGATGTGTCTATGACTTTGCGGAGTCTCCGTTGAGTACCTGATATAAACAAAAATGATGAACGATGGTATGAAAGGAAAACAAGAAAAAAATTGAAAATACCATTTATTCAAATTTCAAATCCAACAAAATCCAACAAACATCAACTGAATATTAATATAATTGAATGCAAATTTAAATTCAGAACAGAAACATTCACAGTTTTTAAAAGAAGTGAAAACAGATGGGTAACCATGGTAAGTATGCAGGCAGTGTCCGTCTTGATTACTATTTTTTTTTTACTGAAACATAAGTATTTGCTAGCTCTAGTCCTGTGTAATTACAATTACGGAAAATTAGCTATTGTTGTTCTCATACCATTTTGTTTTTAACTCATTCATGTGACATGCCTAAATATGGTCATGATGACATCACTTCATGACCATATATAGGCACATATATGGGCATACAAAAGGATTGCGACCCTTCCATAATCTCCCTTAAGCGCCAAAGTCTGTATAATGAGGCTTGAGCAGTGGGTGTGTGGTTGTGAGAAAAAATTATGATGAGTGGCCAAGCACCTTCACCACATTGCCACAGGCATTTGCAAAGGGCCAACGTAGCTTAACTAGTGAGGTAATATTAATATTTTTGGGCCAGGTGAGGTGTTTTATTTAATACATAACTGGTAACTGATATTCTATTCACAAGTTGCACACGAACTAACATACAAATGAATAGGAAAAAAAGAATGTGGAGTGAGGATAATGTATTGGAAACATTGAGGGCAATTTTTGACTTAATTTCATACTTTTTTTTCAAATTTTTCAGGATTATAATTTTAATGTTTCTGTATCTTAGCAGTGTGTGGAGAAACCTAAACACAATATTAGATGTATATTTGATCTAAGTAGAAGAAACACACTATAAGTACTAATATGGATGATCAAACATAAGAATATAAATAAATGACAGAAAATATCAGTAATTCAGTATACCTTTTCCATAAACAGAAAGATCAACTAATGATGATATAACTTAATATACAGAAATAAAATGAATCTAAACAGGCAGAATGTTCTCACTAAAACATACATAATGTTTTCAAATATATAATGAACAAATTAAAATACCCACACAACCTTTGGGAAGAAATACTTGTAACTTTTTTGAATGAAATTACCAAACAATTCAAAACTAAAGTTCAAATGCAAAAAACTGATCACTTTCACAGTGGTTCACCCAAATTAACAGGGGGAATAGTTATATTCGTGCAACATGTATTTAATATGCCCCAATGAATGAGCCAAATTAATAATAAATAATAAAAAACATACAAATCTCACTTTTTATTATTAAAAATGTTTTAATTATGGTTATAAAAATATGAAATTGGCCATCAAAAACTAACATCAGTTGGCTAAAATTATAAGCAGAAACAAACAGAACAAGTAACCAAATGAAGGAACCTTTTGAAAACAAAAAAATATCTTGAATAAAATTAACGAAAAATTAGAAATAAATGCGATAGAAATAATATGTGAGAATTTTCCATGCAAGTTTGGACACTCAATTTTGTGTAAGGCATTAGATTTATAAGTTGGTCCAATTTTCTGGATTACAATTAATATACAACCTATAATGGCGATTATTTTTACTAGTAATAAAACAACAATATATTTTTGATTAGAGTATCAAATATTTACTGTATATTTTTTAATTACAAAAAGATCTAGAAAAACTGTAAAATGTTACTATATGTTTATATAATTTTTTAAAATTATAATTTTTAATTTTTTTTTTTTTTTTAATGATTATGTGCTATTTGTTCTGCTAAATAATTTGTCTGATGTCATGACAGCAATTTTAAGTATTTTTTTTTACAGTTTGGCTCATTCCGGGGTATAATACAGCTATTTTCTTACCCATGGGAGAAGAGTACGCGGGGGAGATAGGGGAGGTTGACTCCAGAAGCTCCCGAAGATCATGGTGGCTAAAAGATTTGCCTGGGTGTTAGAGAAGAAATATTTGCAGATTTATTATACTTACTGGTTCTATGTTCAATATTGATAACAATTGATATGTTATCTAAATAGAGAAAAGTAAATAGCTGCTATATTTAATCAAAATTTCACAATACCAGCCCTCGAGTCAATGAAATAAATAAATCAATAAACAATAATATAAAATTTCTCAGTTAAGCAGGTAAGGATTCAACACTAAATATTTATTGTGGAGTGAGTTACACTAAAGGCATTTGGAGGGAAAATTTAATCTAGAGGCATGATGGGAAGGCAACAATTATGATGTGACATGGGATTAAATGCCTTACAAATAAAGTTGGTTAATGTGATTAGTGAATATGAAAATTGAATGAAATAAAAATAGCAACGGAAATAAACATAACATATAAACAAAACAAAGCGGTGCTGGCAAAAAGAAAAAGAATACTATAATAATAATAATTATAGTTTAAATAACAATAACAAATAATTATAATTCAATATTTTATTGCTCTAAAATCATATTTTTTTTGTTTTTAAGCATTAAACCGAAAATTAAATAGATTTAGTCATTTTACCTACAAAAGTGAGGAGTAATTAATTTATAAAATTGTGCAGTTAGGAAGTGTGAACCTTTTTAGCAATTTAAATATAAAACATACTAAATAATATTATGTACAGTAGAATGTCAAATATATCAGATACTGAGATATAAAATAAATAAATGAGAAAAAAAGATGAGTGTTGAATTGACCAAAAAAAAGAACTAGAGGAATGGGATAAAATATTTGACTTATACATTAGGGCATATTTTACATTATCCTTCATGAAATCTATTGATTAACTGAGGAACAGCGCCACCAACAAGTGAAGTGACCTCATTCTAGATCATTGGTATCCTAGATCATTGGCGGCGCTCTATTGTATAAAAAAAAACTTGTTATTGTGCAGATTTATAAAGCTGCAAATATCAAATTATAGAAAAAATTTGTAGAGATTTTAAATAGAACATAATTAACCATCTTATATTACAAAGCTGCTAACCCAGCAACTCACAGCTTGATGGTTTGTGGAACAGACTGAGTTACACCATGCACATATCAGTGGCAGACCCTGGGGTGGCACAAGGGAGGCTTGTACCCCTTTCTCCTGGCAACAGCCAAAAAACAAATAAATTCAGGGTGAAATCACTTGGATAAGAAATTAAAATGGCTAAAATTGTGATCGCTTACAGGTGAAATAGGCATCTGAAGCCCTAACATGAGAGGAACTCCAAAAGCACTTTGGATCTGCCATGAACATATATATGTATATTAGAACTCTTTTAATCTTTAATAAACCAATTAAAACAGTGCTACCACAATGGCAAATCAGATGAAACTATTCAAATATTAGTCCTATAAAGACTTGATTCCATTGCATGATCATATGGTGATATTTATAAACAAAAACACAAACCTGGACTCAATGCATCAGACGACCTCTTCAATGATAGCTCATACACACCACTGACCCGATTACTGAAAAAAAAAGTAATTTTGAAGCTTACATAAGAATATTAGAAAGGAATAAAAAATATTATCTAGTTGAACAAATATCTTACACCATTATTTGAAATGGCACCACCTACGATAATATAGTAAAAGTAGTGTTAAAAATGGGTCTGGTTTTCCTGTTATTCTACCAAATAAGCCTACTTAAATGTGTTGTATTTAGTAATCAAAGGTTGGCAAATATACATACCAGTCAGATGATTTGTAATAGCCACCCCCAAAGAAATTTCGAAAGGAACGTGTGGTTGTGATTTTAGCATCACGCTCATGGATCTGGAGGCAAAGATCTTTGGTAAAACAAGCTGACTGGCCACAATTTTCCAACTGAGAAAAAATAGATCCACAGTTACCAAGTAAAAGTAAGAAAACATTTTGGTTATAAAAACATTCTCGTTGTAAAAACAATGAACCAATGGAATTCACTTGATGCTTTGCAGAGATATGCACCGACAGGTTATATGTACAGACAGACTAGCAGGGGGTCAATCGCAGGCTCTAATAGCATTAAATTTAATAAAATTCAATAAATTGCAGGGATGCTGACGTATCCCTCATGGCAGAAAATTTGTTTCACGTAAGTGGGTTAAAATACTAAAAATGACCATTAAGTTTTAATTGGAAGAGAGACCAGGGGGTCAATCGCAGACTCTAGTAGCATTAAATTTAATAAAATTCAATAAATTGCAGGAGTGCTGACATGGCAGAAAATTATTTTCACTTAAGTGGGTTAAAATACTAAAAAAAGACCATTAAGTTTTTAATTGGAATACGGATTTAGTTCAGCCAGGCCCTGTCTCTTATACACATCTAGATGTGTATAAGAGACAGGCATATGCCCCTGTTGAAATCATAAATATAAAAATACATAATTCAAATATTTAATAGTTTAAAAATAGCTGAGAACATTTGGGTCATGATCCCTATGTTATGTCAGTTAGCATCTCCACCAATAACATTTCAAATTGCATTCTAAAAACTAAAGCAGACAGTCAAGGTTATATTTTGTATTATCATTTAATAGTGAAAGGTCAAAGTTGATATACAAAGCAGAAATATAGTGGGCCTATTGCCAATTTATGTGGAAACAATAGGAACAATTTTTAGATCTGTGCTCAGATTACAGATACAAGTCCAGGGATCACCTTATAGGAAAGCATTGTCTAACTGTGTGTCTATATGTTTTCTACAAGCAGAAATACACCACAGAGCAACAACTATTTACAAAAACAGCTTTGGAATTGGAAGGGCTCATATGAACAGCTGGAGAATGTAAGAGTATATTTCTTATTTATAATTAACAATATTGTATTATTAATATTTAACTGGATGAGTGGGGTTCACAGACTTTTTGTTATGATGATTAAAATCCGATTTTGTCTCCCTACCCACCTCATTCAATTTATTGTTTTTGTATTCTGTATAATGTAGCACCATGACCATTGTACTTTGTTGTTTTGGCAAATAAAGAATAAGAACAAGAAATTCTTGATTTTGTTACTATAATTTTAGGCCAGGACTGTTATTTAAAATATTTTATCAGAGTCAACCGGTAATAACCCGTGCTGAGTGGAATACAAATGAAACAATTAAATGTAGTTATTAGCTAATAAAGCAGGCATGATGTGCTTAGAACATGGAGTGAATACAGGATCTATATCCGACTTTGTGTATGAGGTGTGAATGCCTACATTTCCATTGTGGTACAAGTAATTTTACGCTAGAATTCTGTAAATTTTTAGCAAGGTTTTGCAAATATTTTCGATAAGATTTTACATATCTCATGTATTAAATTTGATTTTTTGATTGATATTTTTAGTACTGAATGGTAGTAGAAAAACATTCCTTTTGATTTGAGATATTGTATACATGTACCTGTATGATAATTTAGTGTGGAATCAATATGATAATGGCAGCGTGTTGAGTTGACAGCATATTTGAAACATAAACTTTGACGCTGTTGCCAGGTGTACATGGAGGGTCACTCTGTCACTCATTACTTGATCTTTCACAATCTCACTGAGATTAGCATACCTGTGGCTGAGATAAGGTAAGTATGAAAGCTGTATGGAGTCTGCAGAGTGGGCAACAGTGTGTAGTTTGTAGACTTTGGCCTTTCAACAACTATACTTATGAGTATATATTTTGTGTATCTTTATCCAAGAGCAAATATGGATATACCCAAGGTATGTGGACAGAAAATTGCTGACTGCGTACGTGCATTGCCAGAGAGCTGAAAATGCTATATTTGTTTTGTACGGTTGATTAAACATTATTATTCTAGTAAGTCAGACCATGGACCTATTATGGTCAGACAGACAGACATTCTGTATCAACATACTAAATGTATTGTACTTATTAAACAACTGTAGATGGTTTCAGAAAGAACAGTAAAGGTACTCAGAAGTTGCTATGCACACTTCCCTGTGGTGAGACTTTAGAATAGGATTTAATAACAGCAGGGCTATATAATGTGTCTTCAACAGGCCCACAAGGTATACATAATTTTTGACAGAGTAACTTGTAATTAAGATTGCTATTGCTTTGATGATTGAAACGATTAATAATTATAATAACAGATCAACTCTAACAGAGATCGTAAATCTAAATTTTTGTTGATAATTAGCTTTAACCCTCAGGGAATCAAAGTCAGATTGCTAAAAATTTCTGTCATAGGTCAGCCTGTCCTAGTTATTAAATTAATTTTATTCCCTATGTTAAAGTGGTATAACCTATCATGGGCAGAAACACTTTAAAACACAGATTGTTATTGAATGTCACTCGTAATTTTCATGCTGCTGGTAAGTAATATTTGTATAATTATTGTGAATGTTTCTTAATGATGATTTGCAATGAGTTTGAACTGACCTAAGTGGTTGGCTGAGAGGTATTGTTCCTGTTTCTTGTGTCCCTTTATATAGTTAAGGCCAATAAAAAAATGATCAGTTTATCACCCTCGCGCGCATGCCTTTATGGTACAGAAAAAAAAAAATTTTAGAAAAAATTAAATTTTATTTATTTATTTTTTTCATTTATTTTATTAAATAGTTAGTAGATATTGTTTGCACTATCTAAATCATGTTTTACTTTGAATATCAATGCACCAGCAACCAAACCAAGGGTTATATTTGGCTTTAGCAAAATAAAAAAAAAAAAAAAAAAGCCTCCCTCCCTCATCACTTTTCCTGCCCAGATAGGGTGATAAACTAATAATATTTTTTATAGGGCCTAAGGCGGGTGGCGCAGCACTGCGGCTGCCGTGGATCTCCTAGGGCCCAGCCCAAATTTCCGATTTCTAATTATAATGAGGATAAATAGGCCTAAAGTATTATTATTTAAAAACTTATTTAAAAAAATTAGAAGACTAAAGTTCAGTCTTCTTTGGAAAATTCAATAACAAATTTGCTATTATCAAAAGTGAATTCATACAGCAAGCTGAATTATTAGTCTGGCATTTCAATTATTCAAAAACCTCAAAAAAAAAAATGATATATTTGGCATCCTTCCTTTGGATCAAAGCATACTCCATTACAATGTTTAAAATTTTCAATTAAATTGTATAAAAATACAACATTAAAAACTAGTAAGAGTCTGGACTAAACTGACATAAAAATTGTTAATCTAAATCTTAATCTAAAGATGCTACTTGCCAGTGCAATTACAAATACTTGCTGTGGGTTTTGAGGTGGAATTTGGGGTGGGTGCTATATAAATAACTCAAGAATAAATGAATGAAAAAAATAATCCAGTCTAAATCATTCTTATTTTCTCTAATCATAATAACAATTAGCTTATAGCACACTAAAGGTTAGTTTGCTCTAATTATTATAACAATTAGTTAGTAGCTCCATAGTTAATAGTATCATATTACATTATTATTTTCTTACAATTTTATTTCTTGTTATGTTTTAGGAAATCAAGATGTACATTGTATTTGCTGCTATTATACTTGTTGTCAAGCAAGCATCTGCAAATTGCAATCAAGAAGGAAAAACTTGTGAATGGAATTTTTTGATGCATCAATGTAGATGTCATAATCTGGACCTCACCTGTATTCCACCAATCATCTTAGAATGTAAAAATCTTATCTCACTTCACCTTAGTAGCAACAACATTACAAGCATTAATGCTAAAGATTTGTATCCATATGCTTCACTGAAAGAGCTGTTTCTGGCAAACAACAAGATAACATCAATTGCTCTGGGATCGTTTCAGTATATGACACAACTGGAGGGATTGTATCTTGATGGTAACATGTTGCCATCACTTCAGAATGAAGTTTTCAATGGATTAACAGGTCTGACACAACTGGATCTTAGCTTTAACAAAATTAAGTTGATTGAAAGTAATGTATTCCGTGTTCTTGAAACATTAGTAAGTCTGGATCTTTCTGGGAATCAACTTTCAGAATTGCCAAGCAATATTTTTTTAAGTTTGTCTGACCTAATCAGATTAGATCTTTCAAGTAACATTTTCACACAAATACCAGCTGTATTTGATGATCTCAAGCAGCTTCAAATGCTAAATCTTGAATCTAACAATATAAGCACTATTAAAAATAGAACATTTGCTAATCTGGAAAATCTCCAGAATTTATACCTTGGCAAAAACAACATAGAAAATCTCCAACCGGAAATATTATTGTCAGACACTAGTGGAATGGAGTCTTCAGGTCTTCACTCATTGACTGAGTTAGATATTTATGACAATAATTTGAAAGAAATCACAAAAGACTTCATGCAACACCTTCCTGGCATCGAATCTTTGAATCTTGCAGGAAACCAGATCAATTTCATTGAAGCTGCATCCTTTGGTGGTATGGATAATTTACATTCCTTAAAGTTGCGCCAAAATCAACTGCAATATTTAAATGCTGACATTTTTAAAGATGAAGATTCAATTTTAGATGAAACTTGTGCAAATAAAAAAATATTAAGGTATTTGCAAGACCTGAATCTTGCAGAAAATAAACTTAATTCTGCACCTTCAGCAGATTTCTTTAGCATGGTGCCCTCTTTACTATATCTAGAAATGCAAGGAAATCCCTTTCGGTGTGATTGTGACATCCTGCAAATGGTAAACTGGTTCAACAATAGTAAGCATGTTCGATCCACCAAATATGATTTGGGAAAATGTGCCATGCCATCAAATTTAGAAGGAATTGAAACTGCCACTTTGAACTCCTCAAGCATGACCACTCCATGCAAGAACACATCCATAAAAAACAGACAGACCTTAATATCAGCAAGTCCTGGTGATGAAGTTATCCTCAACTGCAGCACAAGTGGCTTTCCTAGGCCAATCGTCTGCTGGGAGGTTCCAAAAAATCTCAACAGTGCCAGCCTAGCCATTACCCAAGAACATGTAGTGATTCACAGTGTTTCTGCTCAACAAGAAGGCAGTTATGTCTGCTATGCAGACAACATTTTTAATAATGTAAGTGTTACTTACAAGGTGGAAGTGATTGATAAATCAGAGAGTCAAGTAACCAGTGTAACTTTGACTAATAATGGGCCAATTGATTCTAAAAACAAAACATCATCCTATGATGGCAAAGTAAATGCATTGAAGACATTTACCATAACTGCAACAATTTTGCTCTTTGCAACAGCATGCGTCATTATCTACATGGTTCGTTTCCATGGAAAGCGAGCATTATCATGCAGAAACCTTTGTACAGAGCAAGACATCAGGAACCAAAGAATTGCAAGAGACCAAAGACGTGTCTATACAACATTAGTTGAGGAAAGAGATGAAAACATAAATCTTGAACTTTAAAGTCTGCATCTGCAGTATTGATTGAATGTACAGCTGACAAATCTACCTTGTACATGCATGGTTTATTTTTTGATTGATTACACAGCTGAAAAACCCACCTTGTAGTTAAATGGGATATTTTTAGATTTTAAGCAGGAAAATCCAATTAACTCTATGTAATATGCAGCTGGTTAATTTAATATAAAAAAAACTATATATCTATATCACTATTTAGCGATTGTACTGATTACTGACTTTAATATAATAAAAAGTGCTTAAAAACAAAAAATAAAAAAAAAGAAACTTAAAAAAAAATGTTATGAAAATAAGTTTTAAAATGTTAAATGATATATTAAGTAACATTAAAAATTAAATTCCTTAGTGTTAACATCAACAGTTCGCAGTAGATTGTAGCATGGCTCAGAAGTTGCGCCAAACAAAAATGTAAATGAAATATTATTTTGAGTCTATTAGTTGTACTGGATCTGGATCATTACTCCTCAATGCCATTAAAAGGATCCAAGCGTACCCTTATTAGGGGGGTAGTCAAGGACTTCCCTCACATTTCAAGAAAAAGTGTCCATAGGGTTTTCCCAAAAAAGCTGTTCTACTATATTTTCTTTAGAATTGAAAGTGTATATACTAAAAAAACACACAGCTGCAATATTTATTAGTAACACAAGTTCATGGCCTTACCTCCATGTAGGCTGATAATGTTAGATAAACATGTTCTCTGTAGGGGGTAACACGATTCAATAAAATTGAATTATGCAAGGAACTATCCCACGCTGCCTCAAACCGGAAGAATATCCTGTAAAGGAAGATAAAGACCAACAAATTTGAAATAGTGATACTTTATAATTAATAATTTATAGCATTTCTATACATTACCACTTTTTAATCTCTATGGACATATTCATACAGTATATATATATATTTTTAATAATTACCATAGTGTTGAAAAGCTTTAGATTACTAAAAGTTATATAGTAAAATAGTAGTAGTAGAAGAATATAGTTATATAAGTTATATGAATATCAGCATATGAGTTCCCTAATGCTATGTCAAAGGTTGCTTTAATCACTTTAATAAATATCATCACCAAAAATCGACCACCATCCTAATGGCCATTATTATCATGTGAAAGGATTGATCCCTTTCTTACCTGTCATCATTTGGATATTGTATATAACCAGATGGAAGAAGGTTGAGAGACAAAACAGACAGCTCATAATCTGGCTCGTTTACTTCAAGTTTTGTGCGAATGCGTCCTTAATGATAAAATGAAAAAAATTACGTATAAGTATTTGAGCTACACGTTCCAGTTCTCAATTTTTTAGTCTGTTCCGTACTCAACAAATATAACATTTTTATTTTCATTTGCTACCTGTGGTTATGCCTATCGCCAGGAAGACAAGATAGTAGTAAGAACTTGCAAATAATTTGCAGAAGATTGATTATTTTCTGGTTCCATCGAATACTGACACCATGTGGGCTATCAGACAGAATAGAAAATGTTTCCGATATCAAATGTTGGTTACTGAAGTAGAAGAAACTTACCGACAACCAACTCTTTGACATCTTTCCACTCTAGTTGTTTAGCAGGTTCATGAACAATTGTGATGGCGAGTCTTCGCTGGATGCCTTGATGAAGCATAAAGCAACCGCTTCCAGGTGGAGACTTATTGGGATGATCAACCACACATGGAATATACCTGGAAAAGTAATGATGATAGTAATAGAAAAAAAAATAGCAAAGTAAACAATAATAAATGACAATGTTAATGATCATGATGATGATAAATAATTATTTACATGTTGAGAATCACAACAATAACACAATAATAATATAATAATAATAATAATAATAATAATAATAATAATAATATTAAATATTCAACAATATTAATAATAATATTAAATATTCAACAAAGGTTAACCACTTACTCGCCAGACGGTGCTAGTTCACATATTTCGACCCACAAAAGAATATCATGTTTGGAGTGCAGATGACTTGTGCTGCATGGCAGTGACACACATGGTCCCTGTTTAGGAGAGGGCACAGGGCGGGCCAATGGAAGAGATGAAGGGAAGCTTCGTTTCGCTGGCCGTAACCTACAAAATGAAAGTCGTTTTTATGTCAACACTGCTGAATTAAAATAAATCATTAATGTCTAAAGCATGGAAGAATACAGTATGTTATTTCTCCATGCTTCTAGTGAGAAATCATAGGATAAATGATCCAAATGAAATAATGACCCAATAAAAAAAAAGAAAATTAAAATTGCAGATTCTAAAGTGTTCTATTTTAGATAAAGATGTCTGCCAGAATATTTATAAGTGCTATTAACTTTGCTGGATATAAATGAATACTTGTAAAATTCAACAGCAGCATGCACTAATATGCATGGCTTGGCTGCCAACAATAATGAAAAGTCTCCATTATCCTCATCATCATAATTGCAATTTGCCACTACCATCCCACCACCATCGCCATCATCAACATCATTCAATCTTTGTCATTAGAAGGGTGTTCAATTTAAATGGCTGAAGCAAAATTTTTTTTAGAATGTTTGTGTATTAAATAAAAAAATTGACTTTAATTTATGATGAGACTCATTCCATTACATACACCAACACAAGCAAAGCCAACTTCCATGTCGCCTAAAATAAATTTGTGGGATAAGGTTCTGCGCTAATTTTTTTTAACCAAAAAAAGAAAAAGAATTCTTTGTAAGGTCCTGTATAGTACAGTCATTATTTATTTTTTCATGTTAAAAAAAACAAACAAATTAATACATTGTTCTAATGTGTTTATTATAATAGTAAGCAAAAATGCAAAGTAAGTGATTGTTTATTCTATTAGCCTCACAGTCTAATCTAAATCAATAGTTAGATAAATATATATATATATACATACAGCACTCACATACAGTTAAATAATATTTTTTATATAATTTGTTAGACTACACATTACTGATATACTTTGTGTAATATACTGTTATAGTGTAAAGTATTACTCTATAATAAATTTATCAGCATATAACATATAATAAAAATATAGTTGATAGGTGTTATATTATGAAATTATATTATATAAGAATCAATTATGTATCAATAAACCACCCTTTAAACCAAAAGAAAGAAGGGTCTATCAAGAACTCATGGAATTTTATTGTTACCAATAAAAATACATTTGAAGTGTGGAAGAAGTGAGGTCAGGTACTGGGACAAAGGGTCAACCAATGTGATGGTGGCAAGCGGCAACACTGAGAGTTGGTAGGGGTTCCATATTTGGGAGACGATTCGGTTCAGGATAGATCAGAATGAACAGGATTTTGTCATATTTTATATTTTTTGCAAATGGCAAAAAAATAATAATGTAATGCGTTAAATACTTCTATTTTTATTGCTGAAAACAATAATGGCACAAGGAAATATTTAGTTATATATTATTAAAATAAACTAATAAAATGATAATTATAAAAAAACATAATAAAATGTAACATGAAATTCATGCAAACATTATCATTGCAGAAGCCAAACGTTAGTCATGTTACAAACATTATTAGCTGTTCTATTTTAGCTTTGTCTTACAGCGATCGAGACGAGATTCTTGGAGGGAGCACAGGTATTGCCCGAATTGTGGCATTGCCCAAGCTGAAAACATAAAACATGATCACATTTCTACAACACTCTAAAACATTTAATATCTCTCAAAGTTTTACATGGATTTGGTTTCACAAAACCCAAACCTGGTTACAATTTGTGTACTATTTGAAATTCTGTTCATGTGAAAAGGATGTACTGTATGTCTCATAAAAGGTTAAAGGTTATTCATTTAAAATGCTGTCCACACTATCACATTTTCTGTGAAAAAAATGGGATTTGCTCATAGAGTATATGGGACAGATGATATCATATCACACCCATATACTGTATGGACATGATGATATTCATTTCACATCCATATGCAGGCATGATTATGTCATATCACACCTAGAGCTAGCTGGGTTGTCATGTCACACCCATGTATGTGCAAATCAACAAATCAGCTGAATTTAAAAAGGACTATCATTTTAGTTTAACATATCTTATGAATATTATGTAAATATTTCTGGGCAAAATTATGTATAATATATTCACTTTATGGAAAATTTCAAATAAATGTAAAACCTATGTTGAAGAGGTACACACAGAAAAAAGATTTTTAAAAACACAATTATGAATAAAATATTAAACATTAAAAATTGCTGAATGCATGCAGAGGTTACTTTGACAATTACATACAACATAGATGTCTAAACCAAAATATTTTTAAAAATAAAAATCTGATATAAGTGATATGACCTCTCACCTTGTGACCTCTTGACTTTGGCTGTGCAGTGGATGGGCTTGATAGTGGCCAAATACCTCAAACATGATTGGCTGTGTGCGTACGTAGTCAACAAATGCTTTGGTAACTGTCACTTGGATCTACAATGGATGAAGTCACATGATGATATATGATAATAATAATAATACATTAAAATGTAATTTTAATTAACATCAGACGAGCACAGGCACTAGATCTACTTTTGTAAAGGTTGAGTAATACGACTGAATAGTTCCTACTGTTTCATTCTCTAGTCTGGTTTGCTTTATTGGGCCCAACCGAGTTCAACAAGCTGAAGTCGAAATATAATAATAATAAATAAAATTTGTAAGCGCTCATATCCATTTCAAGGAATACTCAAGGCGCTTGAGGAAGGTTATAATGGAAAATAAAAATTGGAAAACATAATCAATTATTAAACTAAATGCTAAATACCATAATGACCTCCGTGATTCTGAATCAAGAACAATTTTGTAAAAGTATTACTAAGTGCTCTCTTCTATGCGAGACACTACTTAACATGTTCTAAGTTCTAGTCTTAGGTTTAAATCATAAGGGACAAAATACAATTTTCTAAAAAGAAATACAATATTAATTTAGAATATTAATTGTTCGTTCTTACTGATATTATTTTGCAAGACTTTATTATTCTATTACTATCATCAAAACTCTATCACAATATTTCATTGTAATAAAAATAGATCAGTTTAAAAAAAAAATCTGAATAACCTTATACTTTACTCATAATAATATATCACAAATAATGCCCATTAGTAAAATTAACACATACATTTCTTGCTCTATATATGTCAAATCTATCTATACAAATAATATAATTAAAATAAATATAAATGTGTGTTGATTTGATATAATGCTAATTGCATGAATGATTATTGTGACAACATGAACACAAGACAAGAACACATGCATGCCTACAATCTTACATGTGATGCAAGAACTCAAATCTACCACTTATTCAATTAGTTAAATTATTTAAAAAAATCATAATGATGCTTAACATGGGCAGAAAGGCGATGAGTGGTAAAGCTAGGTGAACTGCCAGGCTTAGCTTTGAGTGGGTATTGAGAGGCAGTGAAGCATGCAATACATTTAAGAGGCCTCTAATATAGCCCTCTACATTGCAGGCATAATGTGCATTAAAATTTGATGGTATATTTCCACTATTAAAAAACCCACATTTATATAAATATTCTGAATAAATATTGGACTATAATTTAAAATAGTTTAATACAATTTTTATTCTCCCCTAAGAAGAAATCAAATTTTGAATGAAATTAATGGGAAAAAAAGTTAAATAAAAAAATTATTTAAGCTGAAATAAACGCAAAATAATAATCAGGTCATTTTTATTTCAAATTTATTCATATTTTGGCAAAACGTACAAACACAAAACATTTCATATTATTGTGTATCATGGAGTGGAAAAAGAAGTTATAAAAGAAATGATAAAAATAATGTAGATATCAATAAATTATGTTTGAAAAACATGAAAATAAAGTAGTAAAAAAAGTAACAATTGTAAAATACAAATAATAAAAATAACAAGATGATGTTGATGAAAACCAATAAAAACTGTGTTTAATATCTATATTTATTTAAAAACAAAAAAGTAATCTTAAACAAAAGAGAAAAATTTCTTCAAAAATAATAACAATAGTATGCCTAATCATAAATAATTCAAAATAAACAAGATGGTGCAAATTGAAAATATAAAAAAAAATAAACAAAAATAAGTTGTAAGTAAATGTGGCAAAGACAAGCCAAACCATTCACTCGTCTTAAATCGTGTTTCAAAGAAAATGGCCAAAACATGCTGGAATGTCAACTTTTTAAAAATCTATTTTATTGCACTAAACTAACCTTTATATATCTATACATCATGCTATGCTGTTATTTGTCCCATTTTCAATGTTGAAACAACACTTTTTAAGGATTTGATAATAGTTTCTGCATGAGAAATGTCTGAAATCATAAACTTTGAAGACTAGATTTTTCATATATTGTTCTGTAAACAGCTGTATGTTTAAACGCTTGTAACTTCATAAGGAAATGTCGGATTTGAATAATATTTTTTTATGTTTTTGTAGCTCTTAATTTACTCTTTAACCCTGTATTAATAACTCAAAATCGATTATTGCGACGAGAGACTGGTTTAGCTTGTCTTTGCCACAATTACGGAAAATAATAAAGAAATAAAATTTCAAATCCATGCTCACTTACATCCTGCACGAAGTAAAATCCCAGGGGTGGCCCAGAATTCCCAGTATTGCGCACAGGTTCGGTGACGAATGCTTCATGCCCGTGTAAAAGACTGAAAAGAATCAAAAAGAATAGTGCCCCGCAGTCAAAAATAAAAGCAAAACAGAAAAATCTACCACACAGCAGCCAAAAAAGCAATGAAAAAGGCTCTCAAAATTGCTTCTTGATATACTTCAAAATCAGTACTTTTATACTGCCAATTTAACATTAATAAGAACATTTTGTACATTCTTTTAAGATTTCAACAAATCAAATTTTGTTAATCTTATATTTTGGGGAATATTTTGACATGTTTTGAGTGCCTTTGTGATAAAATAAACCAAAACCATACCCAACAGAAAAGAAAAGAACCATACACCAGAGTGCTCTAATATGAATATATCACTACAGTAGGTCAACCTTCACTTACGTCTTGGTTATGGTAGAAAGCCAAAATAGGCCTTCCACCAGAACGACGATTCTTTACTGGGTCCGTAGAAAAACAACCATCTTTCTGAGGCAATAGGCTGTAAGAATATCTTAATTTAGACATGACACAAAACAACAGACTAATTCTGATGGTAAAAGGCAATTTTAATGCCAATAATTACATACTTCTATATTGATTAAAATATCATATATTTAATCAATGATAAAAACATGATTTTACATTTGTTTTATTTGTATCAATCACTAATAAGAACTAATAACATTGTTCTTAAACTGTGTCATATTGTACAGTAATATCATGGAATTTCCCTACTTTTGGAATTTTCTGTTGTTAAATTTAGTCCAAAATACCACTAACGAAATTGAATTTTTTAAAATGAAAATTAAAATTCATGGTACTACAAAACAATTATCCAATTATTTAATCAAAATTTTTTAGATGTCATGTTGTTTGAATACTATACAGAATTTAAAATTAAAACTCACTTGAATTGACAGAATATATCAGCATATTCCGAAGAGATACCCATGCCTTGAAGGACAGTCACACGGAAACACATCTTGCTGCCAATCTTCATGTGTTCAGGGGGCTCCACAAACGACTCAAATGGTATATTGAGGGCGATTTCATCTTTATCAGTATCATCGTTACAATGTTCAAGGAGATCTGAAAAAATCATTTAGTTTGCTCATATCATCATAAATATTGTATTTCTCAGTTTACTATCTGGAGCCTAAAGTTAAAAAGATATATTTCTTTTGGAAGAAATTAAATATGAAATTGATTAAAAAATTAACAAACCTAGATCAGAGTTTTCTCTCTGGCCTTCAACAATGCGCAGTTCTTCAGACGATAAAGCTGATTGGCTCATACCCGTTGGACTACGTTTCATCTGATAAAAAAAAAAAAGCCAAAAAAGTAATTATCTGTTTTGCTCCTTTCTGATTTTAGAGCACTTGTGCTTCATAACCAGATGCTTTAAAGGAATTGGCTTGCTGTCATTTACCAAGTCTCAGCCACAACACATGCAAGTGTTGAAAGTAACCGCTATTACAAATACCGTATTAGTATACTTTACTCCAGGCCGTCGACCTATGCTTCATTGACCCTTGGTTCGGACCCCTCCGTCGGACCCCTCGTCGGCAAATTTCTGGCGCCACCGCTGGCTGAGACATGATATTAATGTGTCCAACCCTTGTTGACGTGGAACCGTCAGGGAACGGGACATTATAAACTGGGCAGTAAAGTAAAGTAAGTTGTGAGCAGAGAGTCAGAATCTAAAGCATGTCTACCACTTACCTTGGTGTTGAAGTATTCTTTATCATTGAAGCTTATCTTAGCAATAGCAGACTGCTTCCTCCCAGAAGACTTATCCAATGCCTCGTCCTCAGGACTGACATGCTGGATGGAGATACGAAGGTACCCTTGCACATCACCTCGCTCATTCACTACGGCAACCTTCTGCACCAATGAGATTGGTACTAATAGGTTGCTAAGATACACGAATGACCTGATTTTAGAAAGAAGGTAAAATTATTATAACAATAACTGCAATGAAGAGATTCTCAATAATACATTTTTTTAAAGGATTCAATTGAGGTGTCATTACAATACCTGCCAACAAGCCTAAACCACGGGAAGCGGTCGTAGAATGGATCCCTACAGGTCATCGCGTTCTCCAGTGTCCCATTCGATTCTGGGGTCATCGACATCCCGTCACTCTGGTTGTCATACATTTCTCGCATCATTTCCAATCTCTGCCTACAATGAAAAAAAAATGAGATCAAAAGGGTCTTTAAATCAATAAACAATTATTTATAGCAATTTGAGTAACTTTTAAATTTCTATATTTAAGTTATATACAAGTTTGGAAATGTTACCTATCTGTCTAGATTACACACATCACTATAAATTTCATGACAAAAATAATTATATTATCTTTTTCATTTTTATTAGCATCATTATTTTTTATTAATTACATACATTTAACATTATAGTCAATATTTCAGTACCTAAAAACTGAAAGAAAAATCTATGTTAAACATACTTTAGTTTTTCAATACTCCAGTAGTGGGTTGCTCCATTTTTCTTATCTTGAACTTCAATTGCGACAACAGTACGTGGAAATGGCCGTTGTCCTATATCTTTGTTGTCTTTCTCTGAAAGCAGTTCCGCTGGCAGAGGTGAGTAGAGGGTATCCGTTAACAACACAAATTGGAACTCAACCTAACACCAAAAAAGATTGATTTTAAAATAATGCAATTCAACTTGAATTTAAATTAACATCATCCTCATGATCATCACTATCATCTTTAGCATCATCTTTATCATCACCATCCTCCTCCTCCTCATTATCATCATCCCCATCAACATCCTGATCATCAACATCATTCTTCTGTTATCCTCATCTTTATTATCATCATCATCTTTCTCCTCATAATAATCATCATCATCTTTCCCAACATCATCTTTCTGCTCATCATCATCCTTCTCCTTATCATCATCATCAACAGTTTTGCCTTGTCATACCTTTTTCTTGAGTTCAACACTGATAGCATTGGCCTCCTTTAGGTGAATGGCATTGCCCCACAAATCATCCTAAACCAAAAAATAATACAACAAAAATCAGAGATTTAAAACTCATTAGATTAAATTGACCAAAGATTGGATTTATTCGGGGTACAGTAACATCAATCAGGGGCAGCACAAGGAATTCCCCGACAAGGGGTCCAAGCTCAGGTAGACACCCCTGGCACCAATGATTACCCAAGAAAGACTGTGGGGTGCTCCTGAATAACATTTTCTCAACATTTATGTTTCTTTTTATTACGGTGTAATAATAATGTAACAAGTTCTACATAATTGTTTTGTTTCATATTTCTTGTTTCGTTTTGAATAACCATTTACAAAAGTTTGAACGGTACTTACTCGTATAGATGTAAATCTGTAATACTTCCACTTACGGATAGCCCAGGCAGCCAGCTGATACTCATGCTCCCCCCAGCACCACCCTGCAAGTTAAGCAAAAAACAGTTCATGTAAACATATTATACCTTTATTAATTTACAGAAAGAACTCCTTAAAAATTAATTAGAATTCATTAGATACAAGATATATGTTTGTTTAGGCAAGACTTTTTTTAAACCTTGTTTAGCGGACCTATTGCCAAGTTTATTTTTGGCCAATTAGCGCACCCGGCCGTCACCATGAAAAAAAGAAAAATTTCAGAAAAAAAAAATTTTGTTTTATTACGCCCACCGCTGCCTTGAAATCTCCAAGAATAAGATATGTATATTTCTTCTTTAATTATATAAATTTAAAGCATTTAACCATCCCACTGTTTATATTCAACAATTAATTTCATTTTTATTTTCTCCTCTGGATGTTTTTGGCAAAACCATTTGCTAAATAAGAAAACAAAATTTAATTTTTTTACCCCCTTCTCTGACGATCTTTAAGAAATTAAGTTCGCGTAACAAGGTATACAAAAAGTCTTGCCTTATGGTTTGAATTTTTATTAAGTTATTGGGCTGGCACAAAAAATGAAAGAACTCAAGAAAATGCTATTTGAATATTGTCATTGAACTTTAACCTCAAGTATTAACCTCAAGTAGCCAAGATTGTCAATTGTAAAATTTATGACACAAGCTATAGATATTCCATATTATTAATATTTTTCTAAGCTTTGTAATTATACCAAGTATGGATACCAAAATGTGTGCTTATTAGACTTGGGAAGGCTACAGTATATTGTAAGAATTATTTTGATATCTTGTCCTCGTTACCTAATTACTGGCGGAGCAAAGAAAGAGGAGCAAACAACTTACCTGAATTGGACAGGAATCTGTGTTCCTATTGGTTGGTGCTTAACAACCACAAGAGGGCGGCATGCAATGGCCAGTTGCATGCTCCCCTTAAATTTGCTCCATTAATTACAATTTTAAGCATAAATAAGCACAATTAATAAAAAAAAAATGAAACAGTTTAGCTTATTTGTGATTAATAAAAGCAAATTAAGAAGCATGAGTTATGGTGAGATTTGTTATAATTAAATATAATACCATCTATGGTAAATACATTAGGGTATACAAACACACATCACATGAAGAATAAAGATAAGCTAATCATAAAGTACTACAGTAATATTAGTAAAATTATTATTATTACTACTTTACTATAACAGTTCACCTTATTTTTCATCTACTAGAATGTAATTTCACCTTATTATCACTATTATGACCGTTTTACTATTCACTATTTTCATTGTTATTGACTTTTGTTATCATTTAAACTGATGATCATAATTATGCAAAACCAATGACACAAATACTAAATGTGTTTCCCTCAGAGGTGCTAAATAATATCTTTATGGGATAAATAAAAAAAATGAAAATGAAAAAAAAGTTAGTAAATATATTAGTATCCTTCCTAATCTTTGAATGTATACACTTTTCATATTTCTTTGTATCTTTGTCATCGTTTTTATATAATCTTGTCTGTGCCCGTTACAGATTCTTTTACAAGCCTTAAGTACATTAATATATTGATTTTCTTAGAAGGTTTGGATTTCACACATAGGTCAAATGTGTAGAATACCAAATAATCTATATTTGCCAATATTATATATATATTATAATCTATATTTGCCAATATTATATATACTGTCTCTTATACACATCTAGATGTGTATAAGAGACAGTATATATATATATTTATTATTATTATTATTTATATAGTGCCTTTTCTTTGTTGATACAAAAACGGTTTTTTCCCCTGGTCATTGGGTCCACGTACTTAAATGTTGCTGCTGGTAATCAGCGCAGGAAGAGGCAACCCCACCAGGTGCACATTTGTACTCCTGGGTAAAAAGAAGCAATGTAGATAAAGTGCCTTTCTCAAAGACACAAGCAAAATGTACTGTATATCTACAGTATATAGCAAGAATTTTGAATAATACTCAAAAACTAGTAAATGTATAATCAGCAGATACTATCTATAAAAACCATAAAAACATTTTCATAGAACTTGAAAATACAGTAAATTACATTTGACAAAAGACATTTTTTAGTACACCTACAAAATTAAAATAAATAAATTTAGTACAAAAAAAAGCTAAACTAGGTATTATTTTTCAAGTATTAGGTATTATACTAAATTTTTCATTACTGAATGTACATAAGAGAAAATAATATATTGAAGTTTGTTGTTTTCAGGATCCAAAAAGGACAACAGTTTTTTTTTTAAATAACTGAGTTAGTTAACACAGCGAAAAAAGGAATAAATAAAAAAAATAAATTAAGTTGCCCAATGCCATTTAAAAATGACTACTACTGTATATAAAATGTTGAAATGCCAATTAATTCAACCCAGCTTCTAGCGAGAATGCTAATTACCTGTACATTATTTTCTACTTTATGGAGTACCAACAAATGCATGTATGATTTTTTAATTGTATATCTTGACAAAAATTATACAATAAAAGATAAATGTTCAATGAGGGAATGATAGAAAAAAACATTAGTAAACAAGGCAAAAAGCAAGCAGATTATAAAATAAACAATAAATAAAGCAACAAAATAATAAGATTTTTTTAAATATCAATTAATATATCAATCAGTATTTTATGCACAATTCAAACAGTTCCATCTCATATATGTCTACACAAAGTTTCTTAATGATTTGGAAACATCAAATAAACAATACAGTATTTTCATAAGGCATAAAAGATTGAATACAAAATAAAATTATAGAGTAATAAATAATTCTTTTCATTTATCTAAATCTTCATTATATATAATAAAAATATTATGTCAAAATTTATTTTCAAAAACCTATTTTCTTTTGATTTGGGTATCAACAAGTTAGTTGTTTGTAATCATGGAGGAAATGTAATGAAACATTCAAAGAAGACAATGATGTTAATAACAAGAGCACAAAGTACATGAACAGGGTATTTAATGTTCATACATTTTGACATTCAACATATTAACATATGCTATACAGAAGTGCCCATCACACTATTAGTTTTTAGCTTACAAAAAAAAACTGTTGAAAGCATTTTGAATTCAAAGCAATAAGAAAATAAACTGTTTAGTTAAAGATAGACTGTCTGTCAAAATTTTGATCTGGGGAGCATTGGGGGGGGGGGAATTAATTGCATGCAATTTCTAATTTAATTTATCAAGTTCCAAAATAAATGTTTCTGACTTTTTACTACAAAATCCAGAAATTCACAATTAGCCAAATTTAAAGGATGCAAAGAATACAGCAAAAGTATAATTTTGTGTATATCTCTTAGCAAGGAAAATGTTTTCATTCTTTTATTTTAAATTACAAAATAACTAGTATTTCAATTTTGATGTTCTACACAGACAGAAAATCTTTAAGTAAATTGTGCAATGAACATAACAAGTGCAAAGAAAAAGTTTCAAATAATGGAGCAAATTAAAGGGAGCCCTCGTCGGTTGGCCATGCATTGCAGCACCCTCATGCTGTCATGTGATCTTGACCTACTGTTGGAGCAACTTTAGTTTAGTAACATCTCCATTTCATTTCTCATGCCAGTTTCATGTTTGATATTTACACTTTGCTTGTGTCATATGAATGCAAAAATGCATGGTCACACTCGTGCAAACAGTCTCGTCAAAAAAAATTGATGATGTTGATGAAATTATGTACAAGGCAAGGTAATCTACATTTGTTAGGTACAGTTCGTTTGTATATTTCTATTTCATTAGTACACTCTGTATGTTGTAAGTGCAATAAATCTCACTTGATTATCTATTATAATAATTTGTATTTTTCCGGAAAAACAGACTTGCTTTAGCAACTTATTATATTTAAAGTAATCTGAGATTATCTGTTGATTGTATAAGGCAATATATAAATAAAACATTTGTTGTATTTTTTATTAATGTTTATCAAAGATTATCCTGAACATAATATAATAACAATTAATAGATATATAACCTGGATATTGAATTGTTGGACTAACAAGTACAGTGTAATGTAGAATTAATTAATATCAGCAGTAATTGGATTAATAAAATGTAAATGTCTTCACTCCAATGTCATAGTGCAGTGAGGGATTCCAACACACAAACAAAAATTAAAAGATGACAACAGAAAAGGGAATTAGAAATACAAACCAAATCATTTGATATGAAACTCACATTTTATTTACATCTGTTTGGTTTTTATCATATTCAAATATATGTACATATGTTATTATAATTATATTCCTTATTAATTTAATATTTTGCTGCCAAACAATGGCAAAATAGTCTTTGGAATATGGTTCCTGTCTAGGAGACAAAAAATATGCAAAGAAACAATTGCATTTGCTAAGAATAAAAATTTAAGAAGAAAGAGAATATGGAAATTCAATAACCAAATAAATAAATATCATAATTATCATAAATAGAATACTTAAATCAATACTCTATTACAAAATATGATCACAATATTGAAATAAAACAACATAAAAAAAAAAACCCAAAAGAATTGAACTACCATAAAATTAAAAAATTAAACTGAACAGATTAAAAAATAAAGCGCTTATATATAGAAAAATGGAATATTTATTGTTGAATTCAGGATCAAATAACTTAACTAGTAAATATTGTATAAATTTTCATAGATTTATTTTATAAATGTATATTGACTGGTATACAATTTTTGCAAGATAATGGAAAATAAATATTAGATATAAAATACAAAAGAAAAATGATTTATAAATAACATAATACAACATGTTATAATGTATTTATCCAATACTTATACATAAAGCGTAAAGTGTGTCCAGTTAAAGTCAAAATGTAAATGTATTTTCTCAGCTCTATAAACTTGGCAAGAACTGTTACAGACAAGAGCCAGACAAAGTTAATCCCCATAGAAATACATACAGAAATTTTGCACTAAAAGAAAATATCAGCCTAATTATTGGTACACCTTTAAGATATACTTAGAATTTACTGTTATACATCGCACAAGGGAATTGCAAAGAAGTGTTGCAGCAGTAACTAAGTCTGGCATGTCTAGTACTTCTCCCCTTTATATTTTGTTGTAGACCACCAAGTTAAATTTCTACCAACAGAAAAACCAAGGATGACGCGAGGCACAGTGTCACCAGACCAATTTTGTCTGAAGAACAAAATATTCCCCCGCCTATATGCAAGCACTAACATTCATTTTCCTAGCTAATTAATCATCCAAAGAGAAATTATGTAACTCAAGGGAAGTCAGAGAGCTAATTACAATCTGGAATACATTTATTGAGCAATGGTTATTGAACATAATCCTTTGCAATATAAATTTTGACCTCATAACCTAATTTTATTCAAAGGTTACCTTCAGCCTATGTGAGAAGAAATTCCATCAGTAGGTGAAGCCCTATAAATTTTATTAGATTATCCTGCTACCCCACAGTAAAAAATTTAAAAAAATGGGAAAAGGATTTTCTTCAAAAAAGACATATCGATGGCGGTGGGTATGATAAAAAATTGGAGAGAAGTACATTGCACATAATAGTATTGGCAACTGAGCACTTTTTACTATAATGGTATAATTTTGGGATTTTAGCAAAAGTGATGTAGGAATTGATAAGCTAAACATTTTTATATGACCTTAGATAGTAGCCTCAAGCAAGAAAACCAATTGGCAGCTTACATACGTATTATGAATACTAATTATATTTTTTGAAGTTTTGCATGGTGAGTATAAGTAACAAAATAATTAAACTTCCAGTATACGATGTGTAATATTATAGTTTTTTGAGGTAAAACCACTGGTTGATAGTCTTGCTATTCTATCATGTACAACACATAAAACTGTGTTTTTCTATCCTTCATTATTATATTGCAAACTGATTTATAAATAGATGCATTATGCATAGCTTAATTTGACTGTGAATTAATTAAATTACTGTCATAATTATTATTCATGTTTGATTTAACAATATGTAGTACATAAGTTACTGAAGCATCATCACACACTAAATGGCGCCTGGACATAATTCAGGGCAATAGGCTTAAAGAAAAGGCAGGTTAGAGTGGACAGAGGACAGACTAGGCCTGCATGGTGTACAGTGGTGGTGCAAAGGAGGGAGGGGGACAGCCCCCAGTTGCGGTGAGAAAAGAACAAAATTTGTCGTTCAGAGGAAAAATTCTGTGCAATTTTATCACAATAGAAGATTAAAAAATCATTTCAAGTAAGGCGCCCCCTGAGGGATTCTGGGCTGCTCCTGGTCCTGTTCACTTATGTTTGTCAGAAAATTCAGCCTTCCCATTGTAGACATCTGATGTCCTGTGTGCAGAGCCGTAGATAGAGAGAGTTCGGCCAACTTGGCGCATGGACGCCATGTCCTTACCAAACAGCCCAGGTACATATGCGCGCGTATAGCTTTAATGTTTTGTTTTGGTGACAACATGGCCAGTGTAAGTCATGTGATTGCGATCCACCCAATCACACGCGCGTATATCGAATGCCGTGGAACAGAGTTGTCCAAACTCACTCTATCTACGGCTCTGCCTGTGTGCAAAGCATGGCGCCGCCAATCATGGTGTAAGGGTTACCTTGCAGGTGACAGACAGTATGTTAGGCTAAGGAGGGCAGACTAGATACAACGTTTCTACTACACATGGGCCAAATGGCGTAGGCTTAATATATGATTGCACATAATATTCCTGTCCAACTTATACCACTCTATATTATAAATGGACCCATTTTTAATCAGCAGCTGGTAATGTGTAAGTAAAAGGTTGTTTCAATATAGAAAGAAGAAAATTCATAATTGGTTAGAGAACAACAAAGAAGAGTACCATATTGGTAATAAAAATATCAAATACCTGCTTAGAGCAATTCATACAAATAAAAATTATGAAGATAATTGGTCTATGAATATATAAAAAATTTACATTAAAGAAAAAATGAAGAAATTATATCAAGCAGCAGTGTATAAAAACAGGTAAGGATTTTTCCTGACATTAGGATAATATTAGATAATCACATTAATTTTTTTTATAAACATGATAGCACATGGTTTTACTTTAAAAGGCAACAATAAGATTAGTACATGCATAATGATTATTTAATATTTTAAATAAATTATTGAAAAAAAAAAATCTAACCTATACATTTATAAGATCTTACTATAAAAGTAAATTATATTAATTTTGTAAAAGTTAGATCTAAAAATAAAGGAATTTAGCTGGTGGCAAAATGCAAGTGTGCTTCTTCTCCCTCCTTACAGAAAAAATGTTGGTCATGCCCTCTTGTCTGCCCCTTGTTTTTAAAATTCTGGAATATCTACTTACCCCTCCAAAAAAAAAACCTGCACTATATATTAGTAATATTCTAATAATCCATAGAAATGTTTTTAAATATGTAAAAATATTCTAAAATCTAACTATAATCTTTTAACTATTTATTAAAATTAACATAATCAAACTATCTACTTAATCTATGGCAATAATAACACTATGTATTAAACTATATAAATTCATCATAAAAATATTAGTCAAATCTATAATAATATAATTAATTGTATAAAGCTTTTTAAATTTGATGACTTGTAAAAATATAATAGTATGTGACTACCAAAAATATACAAAACCATCCATGTGTAGGTGCACAAATGGAAATATAATTATGGAATTTGTCAGAAAAATCCAACATCCAAAGAGACATATGTTTGCACATATGTAGTATTATCAATTTTATCCTGATACACATTATACAGTAGAATCCAAAATAAGGGGTCACATTCAAACCAAAAAAAAAAGTTTCCCCTTTAATAAACTTTTCCCTTTGAATAAAATAAACATCAGCTGCATGTCATTAAATTCCATGTTTTATGCTTATTGATTATTTTCTTTAAAAAAAGATTTATGTATGTATTGTGTACAACTTGTTCATACTTAAGAGATATCAAAAACAGCAGATCTGTTATGTTACATTTAATAATGTCTATAGTAACTGGATATTTAAAACACATCCATTAAATAGACACACTGTTCTACTTTAACGTATAGTTTTTTGTCTTAGATATAAAAAATAAATATAGACATAATACTATAGTGTTTATTAACATTATTGTTCATACTTAAATAATGGATATAAAAAAAAAAAAATATATACATTATTATTGAAATGCTGTTATAAGTGTATATCTTGTCCATACTTTAATATTTATCATCGTAATATTATACAAAACAAATTTATTTTTATAATATAGACTTCTGGATTATGCAATAAGTGTACATTATTTATCTATATTTAACATATGTCATACAAATATGTCCATTCATTCTAATATAAGCAAGACAATATGATAAGTAAAGATACTATTGCAAGACTTGTAAACTTACATTAACATTGCATTATGTAACTCTTAGACAGCATTTCCAAGGAGACACTTTAAAAGCACTTTATATTACTATGGTAACAGAGTTCAATATGTTGCCGTGGATACTGTGAAGTCATCGATAGGCTACCTATCAGATACTATTAATCACCTGAGCTCAGAAATGGCAATAAAATAACAGCTAACAAGGAACAGGACTGACAAGATGAATACGGAGAAATTATATATGTACCAGAAAACCATTGCAGCAAAGAGGATGGTGAGTAACTTACTTTCGAGATTGTCATCGCCCTCTTTGATGTCAGGTGGCGGAGATGTGGCCGAAAGCATGGAGTGCGTCTCCATCTGTTTCTGAAGAGCTTGTAATTTGCTTTCATAATCCTGAAATTAAATGATAACTCAAGAATTTGATATTAGGGTAAAAATTCAATTGGTAATTAATGTGAATATAAGAAGTGTTCTTACCAGTCGTTGCTGTTCTAGTAATTGGTCTGCCTCCTCCTTTTCTTTCTTCATTTGTGCTTCCAGAGCTAATAATCTATAGTAAGATGTCATAAAAGACTTAATGAAATGTATACATCTTTGAGTTTCAAGCTTTGTCATCGTATTGTATCATATTGCTACAGTATGTATAGATTCAAAATAAAGCAGTCTTTACCGTTGTTCCATCTCCTCCTTCATATTGATGCCTTGCTTCTGTAGAAGCTCATTTTGAGCAAAGAACCAGTCCACTGGCTCCTTAGAGGGAGCCTCTATCATCGGTGATCTGTTCTTTCGTTGACGAACCTGCTCAGGATGGTTGAAACGGAACACATGGAATTTTCCAAGGATAACACGGTAACCTATAAAACGATGGGAGTAAAAACAAATCAGTAGATAAGAAAAGTAGAAATAACTTCCAACCTAGGTTCTTCAGAACCAGAACATGGAACCAAAATATCCCTATGCATCAGCAAACATACATAGAGCCATGGCTCACCAGTATAAGCTGGTGATGATCACAATGCTTTACAGTAGCTCTCCACATGATGGCAAACTACAACTCACCAGAATAAAGTTCCACAGGTTCCTCGACCTTCTTTCCATTCACATAACAGAGACACTCTGGTGATATTGGCATGATTAGAACAGAATCATCTGAGTTATCAAACAGACAGTGTTGGCCATTGATGCTGGTACCGCTTAGCTGGATGTCTTGAGGAACCTTGGCAGATGATAGCCCAACCCTATTACAAAAATGTTTCCATTGTGTAAAATTTATGTTTTAGCAAATATTTGTAGCTAATAGTTTACATAATCCTAAAGTTATAATCACATACTTCAGATAAAAGATAACAATATAAATAAGATATATGTCTTGTATAAAATAATTTAACCACCTTACCTTGTAATACCATTTTTAATGTAATAAAGTAAACACTCTGACATCAAGGGGTCTTCATTCAGATTAACTAAATGTGGAGTCTGGAGAAAAAAAGTTAATATGAACACTTTAATTAATATTTTATAAAAACTATAACTAGAACAAAATTTGGTATGCATCTTGATATGTTACAACAATAAAGTTATCTTGTATATTGTAATATTATTGGAATTTAATGGATTTCACCTATAACAGTGGAACTGCAAGATGTAAGTAAAACAAATAAAAAGAAATAAAAGAAACAGTTTGTAAAACTAAAGCAAGAAAGCTGTGCAGAAGTGTAGGCTGAGTTTGTTTTGAGGGGGTGCGAAAATTGAGAATGTATGTGGACACCAACCAGGAATGACTCTTAACATCCTCCTCTCTCCTTCCAAGGACAACAACAACAACTAATGTTAGGGAGCCTCGCAAAATAAAGCAACGCGTATACGCGTGGTTGGGGATTAAAATCTCTTCGCGTTGCCGACGAGTGGTTCAAGATACTGATCAAAAATGTTGGACGATTCCATTTCGCGAATTAGGGTTCGTTTTCCGACGTTTTTGTTCTACTTGTTTGCGTCGGTTTATCTCGTGATTTTGATGTACTTTAATTTATCGACAAGTCTCTTTTCTATGTTTTGTCATAAGTTTCATTCATTATTATGAATTAATTTTAATACTATATCCTGTCATTTGTTATTGAGCTATTCTGTAAAATTTAAAACCGAAATGTCGAATACCAAGACTCGAAACCCACTGAAATTTCCTTACACTTTTATACTGTATCATAATCAGGCCAAACTCATATTTTTTCCATGAATATTGACGGGATAAACGCAATTTAATGCCAGTATATTGCTTTTTCTAGAACTATTCATAGGAACATTCCCACGCTCTGCTTTTATGGAAATACAGACTGAATCAAAGTGTACGTGTCATTGATCTTGCTGCCTGCCGAGTTATGCATAGCTAACCCTTTTTACGCCGCCCAGTGTAAACCAGGCCAAACTCATGTTGTTGCCATGAGCAT